GTGGAGTTGTGCTCAGCCCCTCTGGGAGTACAGAGGTGGTATTCAATCAGGTGCTGCAAATGCTGCCCTCCAAACTTAGTTTCTTTTCATTCTTTTCTTCGTTGCAGGTTTTGGATTACCTGTTTGCACATGGACAGCTTTGTGAGAAGGGCTTTGATCCACTTCTTGTTGAAGCAGCTTTGGAAATGCACCAGTGTTCAGAGGAGAAGGTGAGGGTGCCAGGACGGGGAATTCCAGCGGCGGTTCCTCTGGCTGATGTCATTCTGGCTCTCATGATGGGGCTGACTTGTCTCCAAAAAAGCCACCGCCAGGGCACATCCTTGCAGTGATAAAGCAAATACGTGTTGAAGCGTCAGAATTCTACTGCATGGTTTTATTATTTGCATGCATTTTTATGGGTACAGTTTTTTTAAAGAACCTGCCTATTCTGGTTGTAATGTTTTGAACCCAGGGTTCTCCTGTGGGCGAGTGCTTGGTACAGAGACAGTTAATTTCAGCAGCAGCAAATTATCTTTCAAACCCTGCCAGCCTGTCCTGGCTGTGAATTTTCTCCCTTGTACAAATGCATCTGCCTGCCTGCTCAGCAAATTGGGTTAGGGCTCGCTCTGGAAGAAGTTGGAAAATGGAGTTTTTAGGGTCTTTTTTATTCTCTGGGTGCTTTACCGGCACCAAAGGTACTTGGAGCCAGGAGTTGGTCAGGGCAGAGGACGGCAGGATCTTCTAAAGTCTGCCAGTCTATTGTGTCCCAATCTTTAGAGGTGCACCCCAACCCCCCCGGACATGCATACGCCTTCCTGCCTTTTGTGGGCTTAGTGATGAGCTTGCAAACAGAGGAGCAACACCGTGAAGATGGGAGAAGTGACTGAGTTCAGGAAACAACGTTTACTACTGGTTTAACCCCAAAAATGGAAATGGCTCATCTTCTGATTACCCATTTCAACCCGCTTGCTTGTTTTTGTGTTTTCCTTTCCCCTGTGAATGGGCTCATAAAGAGGGTTCATAAAAGTCTGATCAGATGATTCACTTCTTGTCACTATTTTTTTCAAAGCTGAGGGAGGATTCATGGTTGATGTTGGTAGTTTCACACACAGTGTGTCCAACAGGGTTTGTGCTTCTCCCCCACGTTTGCCCTAGATCTGAAGAGCCAATTGATGGCAAGGGCTACTGTACTGTTCCCAAAGGTGAAGTAATTCAGATATTCACATGGAGCTGGAGCTGCTGGATGGGGGAGCAGGGTGCCATTAATCAGCATTTTAGGGAGCCCAGGTTGGACCAAGCTGATAAATTTCCTACTGGGAGAGGGACACCCCCACAGACTGAGCTTTGGTGCCCTTGCTGAAGAGAATTTTGGAAACAAAGGGCTGCAGACAGAGGGCTCTGCGTGCTACTGCACCCATAGCTCTACCAGCTCTGGGGTGAGTGGACTTTCTCCACAGGGAACTGGAAGGGGCTGTATTTGGGGAGGAGGAATCCACCCCCAGGATGGTCAGTCGCTGAAGACTGGCTCTGTGCGGGGAACTGGAAGGGGCTGTACTTGGGGAGGAGGAATCCACCCCCAGGATGGTCAGTCGCTGAAGACTGGCTCTGTGCTAAACCTCCAGCTAGCACTGACCCTCTTTTCTCCTGCAAATAATGGATTGTCTGTGTCTTTCAGATCACAGAACTTCTCCAGCTAATGAGTCAATTTAAAGAAATGGGCTTTGAACTGAAAGACATTAAGGAGGTCTTATTATTACACAACAATGACCAACACAATGCTTTGGAAGATCTAATGGCCCGTGCAGGAGCCAGCTGAAGACACATTCCTGGATTCTCAGCGTGCAAGGGAGCAGGACCAGCCCCGCCACCTTCGCATCCAGTGTGACTCGCTCTCCGCAGGAAGGAGCCCGGCTTTGTGCGTACACGAGAGAGTGACTGAGCAAGCCCGCCCGCCTGCATCACTCCAGCATTTCTCTTTCCACTGAGAGCCAACTTTCTTTCTTAAATTAAATTTTGAAAGTGTCCTTTCCTAAGTTTCCTTTTTCCAGCTTGGCCACGGAGAGTTTAGACTGCCCAACCTCTGCTCTACATTGTACATAGGTAGAGACGGGAGTGGTTCCCCCCCCTCACTGTTGCACTGGAGTTGGACAGAATACTAAGTTGGTTTATGAAACTAGGATGCTTTGGTTCTTTGAAGCTGCTTTCATGGTGTCTGCTTGTACTGAATTACTTGACTGTGGCACAGTCCAGATTAACTGGTTGGATTTGACCTTTAGTGCAATGGATTTTTATTTCTTGGTTGAAAGTTAGTCTGTAACTTAGTAAAACACTGGTTCAGAAACTGTCGCTATGCATAAAGAGAGCTGCCCCTCTTGTGGTTTTTTCTTTTTTTTTTTTTTTTTTTAACCCATGCATCCAACATTTCTGCCAGACACGAGTGTCCGATGCCGAGTGGTGTGTAAGTTCTCTTGAAGCAGGTAAGCTGTGAACTCTACCTGGACCTGCAGCTTGTCTTGGCTCTTGAATCTGAAGGCAGAGAGCTGGGGCTCAGTATTCTTAGTCCCCCAGGCTTGTAGGATATTTAAGACAATGCCCTGCTAGAAAATCATTTATCTTTTTTGTTTTAAATAATACTCAGTGTGGTGCAGGAGGTTTCTTTCAAGCACTTTCTTTAAAACAAATATACTCACTGCATTAGTTCCATTTTTCACACTGCTATAGAACTACATAGAGACATCTAGTACTAGAAATCAGGTTTGGGGTTGTTTTTGATAGTTCAAAGTATTACATGTACATTGTTCAAGTTCTAAATACATAAAATATCAGCAGTCTTGAGCAATCTTTAAAGTAATTTGCTAAATATTTTGATTCTGCAGAAGAGCAACTAATAAAACCCTCAAATATAACTCCCAGTGTCATGGTTCCCATCTCTCATGCTCTGTGGCTTCAGCAGATGAAGAACGTGCTGGATCCTGCCCGCTCCTGTAGGCTCCTGTGTTGGGCAGAATGGCCAGAGGTCATGTGCTTTTTTTTTTTTTTTCTATGGTTTATTTCTGTTTTCTTGCAAAAACCAAGCCTCGGGATCCAAATTCTTGTTAGATCATGGAACTGGGAGCACTGGACTTCTGGAGGGAAGAACGGCTCAGCTCGTTGCCTCAGTTTAGGTTTTTCAGTAGGAGGTTTTAACTTATGGACGCTGAAGGAGATGGCATTTGTCTCTGTTATGTTAACTTCATGTGACTGAAATGTCTAATTTGGGCCGTGGAATTCTCTGTGAGGTGCTTAACTATGTTAATTACATACATTTACTTAAAACAAAATTAAGCTGAGGAGAGATGTAGCTGGGAGATGTCTAGGAGATGTGGAGATGGGTGATGAGAGGGACTAGGGCAAGTTGCCTTGCATTGTATCCTGTAACATTGAGCTTTATCAGCTTTTAGTGATGGGGATGAACATTCAGCAGCTGGTGGGCCAGCAGCTGCTGCCTCTGGGTGCAGGTAATGCAGATACCCAGTTTTCCTTCCCAGGTGGGAAATGTGACAGTTTGAAACGAGGAAAAGGGGATACTTATTAATCAGAAAAGCTGGAAAACAAAATGCAAACTGCTTTTTGTCACTGCTGAGAGCACTCAGCTGCGTCGCTTGCTTCGGTTTTCTCAGAATTAATATCCCAACAAGTCTATCTGGTACTAGGCAGCCCTGAAGGGGCAAGAAGTCTTGCCAGCAAAGAAACAACTATTTAGACCAAACCTCTGAATAAAATAATCTCTTTGGTTGTGTTAATGTGTGTTAAGTTTTTTTCACAGCCCCCCCACCCAGGGGCTGGCTCTTAACCCCACTACAGTAACCACCCTCCTTACGGAGAGGGGCGTAGAGGTGAGGGCAGAGGGGTGAAGATGGGAAGTGATACCTGTGAAGCTGGTCTCCCTCCTTCAAAGAGATGCACCTGTCTGTGCCTTCCCTGCTGACATGGCTCTGGTGGGTGAAGGCTGGAAGTGTGTTTCTGGGGTGGCTTCTCACAGAAGGAATGACCATGGAGTGAGGGATTTAACCTGGTGGCTTAGGTGAGAGGCACTTCTGAAGAAATGTGTATCAAGTGACACAATGTGGTGAGATTTGAATGCTGTTTTGGGTGCCGTGACTGTGGTGCTGTCATTCTCTGCTGTCAAGTTAGGAACAAAGCTCACCTGGAGGTGGAGATGTCCTGCTGATGGTTGGTGAGATGACTGCATCCCTGGTCACGCTTTGAGACCTTGGGGCTTTCCCTTAGGTTCTCAGGTCAGTTAGATTTATGTACCTGGTTCTTGGCACAGCTTTTAATGTTGTCAGAGGTTGTGCTGCTGCCTTCTGCTAATTGGTGCCAGGCACCGAGGTCTGGGGGCCTTGGTGGGGAGGCTTGTGAGAAGAACTGGAGAGGCAGAGCCAAAATTGGCAACTGTACTTTGACCTGGAGACTCCCTGCGCTGCCTCCTGATGGGTCTTCACAGCAGCAGCCCGAGAAGGACACTAGAGAGCCATCAGTCCCCCCATGTGGCTGGAGACCTGGTGGGAGGAGAAGTGCCACTGTGGTTGCAGCCTTCTTTTGAGGGGTCCTACAGTCTGCCAGGCAGTGGGGGCTGCAGCGTGCCCCAAGGCTCTCTTGGGCTGTCTTCCTTGCTCCTGTGGTGGCCTGTCCCTGCTGGAGCAGCCCTGGGCAGCACGAGTCACCCACCCAGGTGCTGGTGTAGGCAGATCTGTGCTGGGGAGACTGATGGCTTCTGCTGGGGGTGCAGCAAAACATGGTGTGAGGGTGGTTCTGGTGCTGCAGGTGGTCCAGGTTGGCCGTGTGTGGCTGGAGGGCACCAGCTACATCAGGCCAGGCAAGAAGGGGATGTTCTGCCGCTGCCCAGCCTCGCTTAATCTTTTGCAAATCAAACAAACGGGTGTTTTGATCACCTTTACTTTGAAACAAGTTTCACCGGAGTTCTGTAGTAAATGTAATTTTATTTTAAATAATGTCAATTATTCAAATAAAATATCAAGCATCTGCCACGAGCATTAATAGTCTTTGTTACACCTGAATACAAAAAGCGATCCCCGTTTAGTTCTGAATGTATTTGATGGTTGGTGGCCAGGTTCCCTTCATCTCTTAGTCTGCTGTAATGGCAAACACTCACCTAATGTTCGTCAAGTTGAAGTTAAAATCAAACAGTGCAATATCAAAGAGCAGGAAGGGGACGACACTTTTAAAATACTCATTTAACACGTTTTCACACAAAAATTAAAGCAGCATCTAGGTAATAACCGTAAGAGTGGAGAGAAAAATGTTACTGTTTTTGACAACGGCATTGGTAGTTTCCTTGGCATACCAAAGCCCAGTTTTGGTATCTCCTGGTCTGGCTGTGCAGCACTTCAAGTAGTCCTGATCTTCACAAGGACGGACGGATTTTCATTTATTTTTTATTTATTTATTTTTATTTATCTTTATTTTTGTCATGTCTCATAAAATTCTGAGAACAGACTGATGATAAAATCTTACATACGACAAAGTAGAACCTTGTGGAGTGCCTGGATGGCTCCAGTTAAAAAAAAATATTTTCAGACCTTGGAAAAACTGCTGCGTTGTTGTTGTTGTTCCATTTATTTGTTGTTTCTCAGTGTTCCCGGCCATCGTTCCTCCAGGGATCGAGCAGTTCCTGCCCTGGGACCTTGTGCTGAGGCTCACAGCTGCCGGCAGATTTGCCTTTTTCACAGCAGCCTGACCAGGGGTTGTAGGTGGCTCAAAGGTGGCAGCTGACTTCACTCCCATCTCCTCCGCCCGGGGAAATTTTTGGTCGTTCATCGGTCTTGTTAGAACCGACTCTGAAACTACTGAGGTTTAGGACAAGGTTTAGGTTTATTTTGTGAAGGGTTCTCCCTTGTGAAATGGAGATTCAGCAAGAGAGTGAAAATTCCTGCAAACGTGCTTTGCTGAGCCTGCTCTTCAAAAAACCTGAAAGTAGAATTGCCCAGTACTTGTCCCCAGATATCAGAGGAGGTGGAGGGGAAGTTTTCCTCCCTGGCACTGCGTTACTGGCTGGGCTTCTCATCTTCCTCCTTCCTTCCTTCCTTCCTGACCTGTGCAACACATCCTACAGACCGGCCTTTTCCTCAGCTCCAAAGTCCCAAAACTCCTCAGCAGCTCCCTGGTAGCCTTGTTTTCTGTATGCTCGCTGAGAGAGTGCTGGGGAAACCACTCATGTCCATTTATCTGTGAGAGCTCGCATCCATTTATGCTTTCAAAAGGTACAAGGACTACCTCAGTGCCCCATCTTCTCCTCCCCTTAGAAAAGGCCTCTCCCAGCCCCAGGAGGTGGAGGGAGGGTTTCTGAGAGGTGCTTGTCTTAGAGGGGAGCTGGGTTTAATGCCTGCTTTTCCTTCCATGATTGAACAAGATGCTGGGTGTCCCACTGCTGTACAGCTCTCTGGTGGCTGCCCAGCTCATTGCTCTGTGCTGTGACACAAAATACCACTGACCCTGGGGGTGTTGTTCCTGGAAGCCTCATTCCTCTGGGCGAGGAAGGCTTCTGGCAGACCTGGGTTCAGGTGTGACCTGCCATGGCCTGAAACCTGGACACGGGAGCCACCTCGAGAGCCATAAGCTCGGACCCTGGAGGGGCTCTGCTCTCTGCTCCACGGAGTAATGTGGTCTCAGTTGCAGATGGGGACCAACCAGTGCTAAAACCCTCCTCCCCCCTGCAAAAGTCCCTCTGATGGAGGACTTTTCTTCCACGAGTGCTCCCCTTGCACTTCTGTTCCCCAGGGCTGCGCCGTGTGACATTCCTGGGACTGAGTGTCGCTGCCGTTACTGTGTGGCTGCTTGGTCAGACCTCAGGGCTGCTCTGGGTGGCTGTAGAAGCAGGCAGTGACATTCACAGCTGGTCAGACAGCCGTGTCCCCTTACCCTTGGCATTTCTGGCCACGGAGCAGGCTTTGATTGACCTACCACAGGCGTTACTGAGGAGACAGGGAGATGGCCCAATGGGCTGCCACAGCCCTAATTTTGGAGAGGGAGCGCTCGCGCCGCGTGTTGTCAGCCGAGCTGTGCTTCAAGGCCACTTGTGGCTTCAGCAAGTGGATTTGTTTCGTGGTTCGGATGTGATGCTTTCGCAGGGCTGCAGCTGGTCGTTCTGCAGTTGGGGATTCAAATACCAGCTTCGTACTCGCAGCACCATCAGCAGCTTCTGGAGTCCCTCTGCCTCCAACCACACCCTCTTTTGATGTGAAAAATCAATTCTGTCACCCCAGCGCTGTACAGCAGCGCTGCAGGACAGGCAGCACATGTCACTGGCAGTGGGCAAAAAGCTGTTGGCAACAGGGTGAAACCCCCATGCTTATTAACACACTTAGATAAACCTTTGCTACAAAGTCACTACTAAACCACTCGTTACCCATGACTTAAGCCACCTCTTCCAGGAGCTCTGGAGTGTTCGTTCCCAAGCAAAGAACAAATGTGGCAATCACCTGCCTTCTTCTGAAAGGGGCAGCACTTCTTGCCCTGCCTTGACTTTCATGTACTCACATTACGTTACTGTATTTAACAAGCAGTGGCACCTCTCTTTTTCCTGGCTTCTGTTTGCAAACACTTTTCTGGATAGCTTTTGAGCATTTCCATTCAGTCCTGTGTCTGGCTTCAGAGTGTTTTTTCTTTCCCTCTTATTTTCTTGCCAACACAGATGTGCCTTTAACACGTGAGAAGCTGCTATGACTACTGGGGACAGGACTGCCTGCTGCTTCAGCGAGATATTTAAAGGCTGCTGAATTGTTATTCTTAAGAACAAGGGCTACCGGTATTAAGGAAATACAAGAGCTTGTGGTGCCAAGCAGTCATCTCTCATTTACTCAGAATTGTCTCCATCCTTTATCTAAAATGCACACTAATCACAAACATCAAACCAAAAATCTATCCCCTAATCCACTCGTGCTTGGCAGCACCAAGTGTGGCCAAACCCTGGCTGCTGGCTGTTTCTGTAGCTGTTCTTGTGCCGGTGCAAGCAGAGAAGGTTTAAACTGGTGGAGGCGTTTGCAGGGACGTGTCAGAGCCAGGAGAGGCCAAACAGAGCTGGAGCTGGGCCCGCGTCGTTTGGATACACTTGGACTTCAGTACCAAGACTTCGTCCAGCTTGGTCACAAAATGCTGAAAATCCTGGTGAGGAAGGCAAAAGGAAAGTTTAGAGAACAGCCGCAGCAGCAGATTGAAGAAAGAAAGAAAAAAAAAAAAAAAATCAGCATATTTTAGTCACTGCAGCAGTACATAAAAACATGCTTTCCATTCTGCAGTGTAGTAGATTAAATCAGTGTTTCCTTATTAAAGTCCCTCGCAAACAAAGGTCAATGCCTCTAACTTACTCTGGTAGTTTTATCTGTTGGTGAAAGTACAGCTAATATCATGGTTTAAAAATGAAAATAAAAAAAACGTATAAAGCATCTGTTATCACCTTTCTACCTGGGTTAGCTTTTCAAAGGTTTGGTACAGGGACAGGTCACGTGACACACAGTTTTACCACGTACTGAACTCTCTTCCTGACACCTCTCGTGCTGGACCTAGCGACCATGAATTTAAATGGTGAGTTGGGCCACCCGTTGATCAGACACAATAGCCCATTTCACACCAGGTCACAGGGCCAGCCCCACTCCTGCACGGCTACAGGTCTGCTACATGAGAAACAGCAGCGGCGTATACGGCCAAGGGGAACGCTGCCTTCCATAGCAACCTGCCACACGCATAAAAAGTGATATGAAACTGTGATTAGAACTGAAATGGAGGCACTTATTTTTAAGTAGGTCTTGTATTAATAAAGGTGTGTTCTGACCTACTCTCCTCGCCACCTGAGAGCAGAGCTTGGTGCCTTTCTTCATAAGGTCAGTGTCTAAGACCCTGGGAGATGTCAGCATCCTCAGGGCTGGGGACCTCAACTGCCACCACATGAAAAATCAATCATTCAAAAGCTTAATTGGTGGGACTCCAGCTGTCTCGTGCACTGTATCTTTGTCTTGCGGGGACAACAGAACTGTAAAACAGACCAGCTCAGCTGCTCTGGCATATTTTTCTGAAGCGCTTTAAATACAGCTTGGTTCAGCATGTGGCCAGCCCTGGCAGGAGTCTCTCCTGCAGCCACAGTTTCATGGCTGGAGAAGCTGCAACCACCTGCAAGTGGAAGGAGCGAAACCGATACGGGAAGTCTAAGCTGATTTCATTGCCCAAAGAAAGGTCACGCTGTGAAATAACAATACAGGGTACATTATAAGTTATTCATACGCTGCTGGGAGGCCTGGCAAGCTCCTCATAATTCTGCTAGCCAGAAAATGATTGCTTGCTGCAAGGGGCAGATAAATGGGGAGGAGTCCAACGACCAATGGACTTAGGAAGAACAATCTCAAAAAGCTTTAAAAAAGAAAAAAAATATTGCTTTGTATCACTGTATTCTCTGCCATAAAACTAATATGGTTTATGGCTCTTGTGCTGCTTCATGAAATTATGTGTGTTCTCTGGTAACACATTAAATGCAGCTGGAAATCACAGCAAATAAGCCACATGGTGGCTCCATTCTGAAACCCCTGAGGCAAGAGTCCTTGTAGCTGCACTTCAGATCAGAACTGTGATAGGAATTAAAATGGTTTGATAATGTAATGCAGTAATGGAGCTTGGCTTTACTGATAAGATGAGGGAACTGGGAAGGCAGGAGGTTCCCGCTGGGAATTGTTAATAGTCTGGGTGAGAGACAAGACTTAGCACACAGCTGTGACATGCCTCTATCTGGAGGCAGGAGAAAGAGAACTGGGGGTGCCCGGCTAGTGGTGGGGCCATGCAGGTGCCAGTCTTTAGGTCCAGCCTACGCTACTGCCATCCGAGGCAAGGGCAAGCCATGAGACACGTGAGTGACAACAGCCAAGAGCCCGTGAGGGTGTGGGTCACAGTGATGAGAGCACCGGGGTGTGTGGGGCCAGGGGGTGGCACATCTGTGGTGTGACGGGCAAGGGACTCCCAGAAGAAAGAGGCAGTGTGTCACTAGGCCACCAGCTGCGACATCCCAGTGTCATGCTTTAAGGGCACACTGTTTTCTGTGGTATTGACTCACTCACTCCAGCCTGTAAGGAGAAAAATGTCACCTGGAAAGACACCCTGCTTAGAACAGCCTGGTACCCAAGACATAAGAGAAGAGCAAGCTGTTTTATCAGAGAGAAGGGGTTCAGAGTGGGCCCATCAGTCTCCTTCTTCCCCAGGGAGCTGGCAGTGTGGAGACTGGCAGAGACACAAGAGGTTCTGAGAATGAGCAGCCTCCCCCAGGGCTCAGGGAGAGGAGTGACAGGAGGAGGAAGATCTGATGAGGAAGGTCACACCACTAAGCCGAGTTAATAGTCACTGAGGTTAATTTATGCGGGTTCAACGGGCACCGAGACGATCCTCTGAAACACTTACCATTGCTGACATCTGATTTATCAAGCACTCCTCCTTGAAGCACAAGGATGCCATTTCATCCAGCTGCTGCCGATGGGCCCGAATCACAGCCTGTCTGATTAACACAAAACACACCGTTGGTTACACAGCCCACTGCACCACCTGCAATTACCCTCAATACATCTTTAAGAAGGAGGAACACCCCAGAGGAACCCGTGCTGCGCTGTGTCCCTGGCATTCGGACAGGGCACACCAGTGCTCCTCAAAGTGCAGTGGACTGCGCTGGTTTGGGGTTAAAGAAGGTCTTGACGACTGAGGATTGCTCAGAGAGGAGTGACCACAGCCTCTCATTAGCAACAGGCAGCACAGGGGGTACCTTCTGCTTTTTACTGTAGGGAAATCTAGGAGCAAAAATACTGTCTAATCAATTGGTGAGATGGCTTGCAACCGTGAGGCTGCAAGTCATTTTTGGTGAAAAACAGGCAGAGCTGTTTATTCCTCTGAGCAAGTTTCTCTGACCAGCAACATATTTTCAGTCAGGTGAAAGCAGTTCAGTCCTTGGGAGCTGACAGCAGCAGCCTGTAGTACTCTGAAGCTCTACAACCAGCCCCTCGAGCTGTTTTTCTTGCCATAGGGATGGAACAGCTATCACCTGCTTCTTGATGGGAGGTTTCAATATATTTTAGGTACTTGACAGCTTACAGGAAGCCAGTTAGTTACTGAGAACTGCAGCTTGCATTATAATATTCATTCCTCTAGCATTATCCTAGGAAGCTCTAATAAAATAACTGGCTTCCTGTGAGATTTTAAAATGTCACTCAATAACAAGCAATCATGAATTTATAAGATAATGACTATAAATCATTGTTAATCTTACTAAATAATTATTTCATAGATTGATTTTTCCATCATTTTTAAAAGTACATCTGAGTAGATATACAAATAAAGGTAAATGTATTAAATTTCTAGAACTTCTAAGCTTCATGACAAACCCCAGTGAGAAGCAAAACTTACTGTGCCTTCTCAAGGGCCTCCCTCTGCCATTTTCCCATCTCTGACGTAGCACTTAGGGAGCTGCTGCTGGACATGCCTGAGGGGCTCTTTGCATTTGTTAATGGCTGATTATCTTTGGTTCCAGATCCCGAATCCGCAGCACAGATCTCTTGTGTAAAATTACTCTGCATTAACTTGGTTTTTAGCAAACCCACTTCCTCATTGCTGAACGATGACTTGGCTGGGTCTTCAGAGGAACTGAAGTCCTCATTCCTCAGTGACGACTTGGGCTGCAACACCAGGCTGACTTCTTGAGAGGGGGGCTGGGCTGCATAATCCATATTTCCCACACTGAGAAAGCACGGTGCACCTGGAAAGTAGCTCTTTTCAGGGATATTGGCATTCATTTCCTGAGCCACGAGCTCAGCACTGGGTCTTTGATCTGAGTTAGACTTTCCTGAATAAGCAGTACTATCTTTAACCTCAGCTCCACGCTGTCTGCCACCCGAGTAGTCTTTGCACGTTGAGTTGCTGAGAAAGGAACCACCCTCTCTCTCTCCCCTGGAGCCCGTGGATTCAGCTGCAGATGTTTCCCTCAGGTCACCTCCAACAAACAAACTGAGGGCGACTCCTTTCCTTGGTGAACCCGAGCCTAGAAGGCAGCAGCAGGGCTTCAGGTCACAGCAGGCGGGTGGAAGCCACCTGTCCCCTCTCTGTGGGGAATGCAGCAGGATGCAGTGCCTGCCACCACGACGCATTGGCTCCCCTAGCTCCAGCATGCTGTCTGTCAGAGCTCTGCTTCTCGTACACTGCCAGCCTTCCTCCTCAAACCTGGCCTGGGAGCCATGCATGCTCCTGGCCGACATCTGCTTCACGCGGGGGGACTTCTCTTGGTTAGAAGAAGACACTGTCTCTGTATCAGTTGTCTCCTCATAGTCAGGAAGGGATGCCATGAGAGGACCTGTTAGCTCGGAAGTGAATTCTGAGGAACAACTGGGAAATCCATGATAGTTAACTAAATTTTTTTGAGCTTTCCATTTTACATCTTCTGCAAGGGCAGCCTGTCTATCCAAAGTGGATTCTTCCTTCTCTTCATGGTGGAGGTCGATGTCTTTGCACTCTAGAGTTCCTGATTTCAGTACAGGAGAAATATATGAGCTGGAAGCATCCTTTTCTGGAGTTAAGGTGGCTTCACTGGAGTGAACAAGACATCTGTGCTTGGATTCATACTGTTTGTGATCAGCCAGGAAATCTTTGCCAATTTTCCAGTTACAAGCCGAATCTTCTTGCAGGCAGTAAGGTTTTTCTGCAGCATTGCTTGGAGAGGACTCAACAGATAAGTCATAGCTCCAGTCTGATGGACTTTTATTGCAGCCTGCATTTTTAATGGATTCCTCCATCTTTGGGCTGCCCTTACTGCAGTCCCAGCTGTCATCCAGTTCATGTTCTTGTGTGGGTATTGCATATTTAAAAAATAAGTCCTGTCGCTTTTGGCCTTTTTGCTCTTCTTCAGTTCCTTGTTCTCTTTGATGAAGGAAAAATGAATGTTGACTGCATTTGTTGGTGTTTCTTCTTTTCACGCTCTTTTGACTACAGACAGGTGAGAAAGAATCTTCACTGAAATCACTGTCATCCAGATCTTCCAGCTGCATCCCCTCTTTGCTCTGTACTTCCGTGGGAGTAAGGCTCAGCTCCTGCTTCACTTGAATCTCCTGGGGCTTGTATTGCATTAAGAATTTCTCAAGAGGTTGATAGTTCAATTTTTGCTGTAGAATAGGTGGCTGCTGAAACTGCTGGTGATAAAGACGTAAATGCTCTTCCCTTTCCTTCTGAAATGGAGGCAGATTTGTCCAGCTTTCAACAGATTGTTTAGCAAAGGTGTTTCCCCATTCTTGTCTGCCATCGGAAGGCAGATTCCCATCTCCAAAGGAAAATTCCTCTCTAGAAACAAGCTGTTTCTGAACAGGTTGCACTGTCTGGACTTTCAGGCACTGGATAGGTGGCCTGTCTTGCGTATACTTGTCTCTCTGGACACTTTCTTTTGTTTCCACTGTGACAGCATTTTTGGTGATGAAATCCTTTGCAGTGGGGTTCTTTTCAGAGTGGGAGGACACATCATCAGTTTTCTTCTTCAGGGGATGTGCTATCCGTAGGACTCCCTTCATGGGGCTAGCACGGTGGAACCACGGTGAGCTGGGGCTTCCTTTGTAGGCATGTCCTTTGTTGATTCCCCTGGGGGTAGAGCTAAAAGGGACACTGGGTGGCTGGAGTGCTGCAGGACATGCCTTTGTTTTTGTAGCATTTGAGGGATGCTGGAGGCCCAGCTTCACTTTCTTTGGAGAGCTCTTTTCCCCGGGTGGCAAAGAGATTGAGTTTTGGACACGTTTTGGAGATACATTTCCAGCAGTCCGATGCCTGTTTGTGACGGGGGTAGAAAACTTAATCCCTTTCTTCAGCTCTTTGACCCTGTAAATGAAGCTGGCTTTAGAAGGTGTCATGCTTTCAGATAAACAACAGTGTCTTCAGAACAAACTACAGTGTCTTCAGAACAAACTGATGCTTCCACATATTAAGGCTAAACACTGAATTCAATGTCATGATTTCTGTTTTAATTGTCAGTCATGCACAAAGGCATCAAAACACGTGGCACAGTGCCAGCTCACTAGTGCTCTCCACAGGACATCACAGTTGTTGGAGTAGTTGCAGTGAGGCCAATTAGCTCAGGTGATATTTACGGAGCTGTGGAGCTCCTGAATCAGGCTCATCACTGCAAGTGAAGAGCTGCTTACCTGGTGTCACCCTATCCCCTCAACTGGTTCCTTTCCCTCTTAAGCACTTCTTGTCCTCTTAAGCCCAGCACTGCACAGCTGGTAATTTACCTCCTCCTGTGTAGGAGGGAGGGTAAAGGACTTGCACACATTCTAGACACAACTGAAATTCAAAACCAAAACAAACCTTTTGAATGCTGAGGTTAGTAATCCTGCAGTTGCAGGGAGCACAGTGATATCTTCATCACTAAAGCTCTCATCAGAAAGGATTTAAAAGACCCAAAGAATTTCAAGACCAAACATAAGAGTTGGAAAGGATTTTACTTGCATTGTGAAAATTGCATTTCTTGCCTATATCAACACTTCAATGCAAACAAAAAAACCATAACCAGAAACATCATGCATTACTTTTTTTTCTTTGTGTTTTTCACCTTGGGAATATGGAGCTTCATCACCTACCTGTCAGCGTATCGTAAGGTGTTCAGGGTATGCTCTGTAGCTATGTGGCTAGGTGATACATTGGCTATCATACACGTCTTGGAATTGCCAATGAAAGAATCCTTTAGCACCTAGGGTTGGAAAGAAAAAAATAAGATTGTTAGCAATTCGTGTACCTTGCATTCCCTGTAAATTAGAAATGTGTACAGACGTGGTTTGAGAGGAGTCAGGTGATGCCCTGTTACTGTCTGTCTTTTTGTGTGTGTGTGTTGTTTTTGGGTTTTTTTTAAATGTAGTCCTCTTGTCTCAACTTGTCTTGTAATACTTTGTTTACAATTTAAAATGAATACAAGTGTTATTCAGGGCTCTGAACAAGCCCTTGCACCAGGTGCCACAAGGGTGCCCATATGTTTTGAGGAATAAAGCATATGTTACAACCCGAGTGAATAAATGTTGATGAAATCTGCCATGACTGTTACTGCACAGAAGATGCAAGATTGGTTGCAGAGTGGGTGGAGATGGATGGTAACTGAATGAGTCTGGAAGGTAGTGACTGGGGTTTCTGTTTGGTTTTAGGTTTTGGTTTATTTGGTTTTTACCATGCAAATTCCCAGGCTGACGGGGGAAACTGGCATTTGTTCTTAATTCTGTGATTATCTTTAAGATTAATGTTTGCAAAAGTTACGCGCTTCTCTTTTCTTCAAGAGTTTAATAGCAGTTATCAAATTATGCCGTTTTAAAAATTATTATTTTTTTTATTTTGTCCTCATCAGGGAAATCTCTACTGTTGCCTTTCTGCTTGTTTTACCTGAGTTAATTTGCTTTGCCGGAAAGGAGTATGTGCATGTTCCTGATCCAACGCCCGAATGCATTCCTTTAGCTACAAAAAGGAAAAGAAAAAACAAAACCACATCAGCCACACTGGCAAGTAACTGAATTTCATCAAACCTAATCTACCTAGCCTGTGTACTATTCCCTCATGTGCTTTTGACTCCTATCTGATGTCCCTCACAAGAGGAGTTTGCTGCTGCCACAGCCACAAATGGCCAGCTTCTGCTAGATCAGGTCTCAGCAGCAGTTTGGCTGCACTCAAAGAGGGCACAGCTGCTGCACAGGTACCTGTAACACCCCGAGAAGAGAGCTTTTTGAGCTCCATCTCTTATAAATTTCTTCTAAAAGAAGCTCTACCCATTCTGAAAAAAAGGTAGTATAGATACTGCCTGTTTGTCTAAACAAACACGTCGCTGCGGCCTCTCACAGGCTAATAAGGACTATACACAAAACAGCGATCATGAAGCAACAGACTGCCCCACGGAGTGGAGATAACAGCTGCAGAGCTCCCATTAAAACTAACAGAACATGAGCAGCTAGCTACACCCTTGCCTTTCACAGGAGGTTTCAGATCTTCTTGTTAATAACCAGCAACAGAGGTAGCCTGTAGTCTTGAAGAAACATCCCCTGGTTTACTACCAGCCTCGGAAAAAGATGTCATATCCAGACTGAAAGATGTGCACTTTTTTCCATGTTTCCACTGGAATAAGCACAATAGCATCACGCTCCATATCAAGCCTGGATGCTCTCTAAAATTGGCGGAAATGGACTCTATAGCCATGAGACAAGTCACTTTGAGCAAGTATTAAGGGAAAAACAAGCAGATTACAGTATTGTCATGGTGATACTAGCAGGAAACAGCCTTTCTACATTTAAAGCCTTTCTACATTCTACATACACCCACTTAAAATGACACGTATTTCTCACCTTTACTGCATTTTATTAAAAATCACACCTCTAACAAGTAAGGGATCAAACTATTCCGATTTTTTTTATTTTGCTTCTAATAATTGCAATACCTGAACATCTTCTACTTGAAATCCTTTCTGTTCAGGTCCCAGCTCTCCATAACTCAGAACAACTCAGTTATGCACCAGCAAGTACTGAAGAAAGCATGAAGTGCAAGAAACACACTCACTTTACATGCTGTCTCCCAGTATGAATGCTAATACTCCACAGCAGAAAAGCCTCTGTGGAAAAGAACATCCTCAATTCTCAAAACAGAGCAAGTCACCACTTATTTACCCCACACAGTATTGCTGTGTGCACTACATTCTTCACTCTTGACTCATAATCACTGATTTGGCTTCACTTAGAGAAGCCCTCGGTGCCCTGGTTGCAGCTGGGACAGAGTTAATTTTCTTTCTAGTGGTTGCTGTGTTTCAGATTTGGTATGAAAGGAATGTCAATAATGCATATTGCTGTAGTTGTTGCTAGGTGATGTTTATACTAGACAAGGACTCTTTTCAGCTTCCCATAGAAGCTCAGAAGGAGCCTAGATAGAAGGATGGAGTGGCCAGTGGAGTATTCTGCACTGTAAGTGTATATAAATGGAGTTAGCCAGGGGGTGAATACTCATCATCACTGCTCTGAAAGGTAATAATTCACTGAGCGGTGAGCGTGACTTCTGTCATTATTATTATTTGTTGTTGTTTTCCTTTTCTGTTATTGTTCTATTAAACTGTCTTTACCTCAACCCACAAGTTTTCTTTCCTTTGCCTCTCCCCTCCTTTTCTCCCTCTTCTCCCTACCCTTCTAGGGGAAGGGGGAGGACTGCCTGAGCAGCTGCATAGTCCTAGCTGCCAGCTGGGGTTAAAGCACGCACCAAGTCATCAGTGAGCTTTGTGCATTTAAATTAAAGAAGGTGCAGTGTATTCTGCACAATTTATACTTAGAAGCACTTGGCTTTATCTTAGATGGCATTTCTCTGCTCCTTGTCCCTCTTTATGTAACTTTTATAAAAAGTACTTCTATAAAAGACAGTTTGCATTAAGAGTGTATTTCTTCCTGCTTCTTTTTCCCCAAACACAAACTGCCAGTTTCTATGCTCTTGTGTATTTATTCCTTTACTCCTGATTTGAAAGAGAAGTCTGAGTTCAAGCAGTGAAGATAAACAGCAGGAACAATGTGCTTTTATGAAACAAATATGGCAATCCCAAGCCAATATTCTCTAGAATTAAAACAGACAAAACTTCCTACATAAAATATGGGACACTTATTATACTATACCTAACATTCTCCATGCTGTATTTACCTGGCTGTTTGCAAGAATGGATTAAAAAGACTTTATTTGCATCACAAAACATATAGACATATATTATTCTGTAGCTCATTTTTATCCTAAAACACATGCTAATAATCAAATACAAAACCTTCCCCAGACATGTTAGTAGCTTACTGCTAAAAGACTTTGGTTTATTTCAGCTCCTTCCATTTTTGTTTGTCGATCTGAGTCTCTGGCATCAGCTGCTCTTTCACTGCCAGCCAAGTCAATGAATGATATCCTACAAAAAACAAAGTTGCATTTATTTTAGGGGCTTTTTTTTCCTTTTTCTTTTTCATTTTTCTTATTTTCAAATCAGAGGGCTGCAACAGATGACATGAGGAGAATGATTAGGAATAATTACTTTTGAACAAAAATAAATACCCACTGGAAATACCTGAGGCACCAAAATAAGCACAGGAGCAGGAACAGTGTCAGAGCATCCTGGCACTAACACAATCGTAATCAAAGGTATTGCATGTGATGAGATTGCTCCACAATTTAATGGATCAGCTGTTTAAAGCGCAGCGCATTAATCTCTCCAGATAATCACTGTGCTTGTATTTTCCTAATAACACAATTAAAGAAATTGTACATTTCTTTATTCTCCTTCCAGGTAAAAGAGATAACTGCCCTGCCAAATGGGAATTCAGGGCAATATGAACAGAAATTTCCAGTGCAGTAAGTAATACACTGAGCTCTCAGTGTTCCTTTTCCCTTCCTTCCCCAAATGTCCATTACTCCCTCTCACATTTCCTAGCTCTGGGTGCCAGCTGCTGTACTGACTGTTGCACTGTAGCTTTGTCTTTGCCCTTCTGTTTCTGGAACTGCCCTGACTTCTCTTACAGGCATATCTTGGGATCCTTTCCCCACACCAGATCCACCCCGCTTTCAGTAACAGAAAAAATGGCACACATGCCACACCTACATAACCACATACACTTGCATTTCTAAGCCTGCCTGTTCTGCCTTTTCCTCTCCCCACTATTTGTGGCTCTTCCATTTTGCCTTGTATTTAAAATGAGATCCTGGGAAACAAGGCTGCACTGTAGCTGCTGGAAGGGTGTGTCAGCATGGTTTTTGACACTCAGCAGTAATATAGATACCTAGGCCTCTTTCCTCAGACCTCTTTCTTGGCGTTGTTTAGTCGAGAAAGAAAGACTGGGAAGAGGTACAATTAGTCCTTAAATACATAAAACGACTGCTACAAGGCTAAATAAACTGCTCTTCTTGTCTGCTGCAGATAGCATCAGAGTCACACTCTCAAATTATCAGGGAGGTTTAGGTGAGCTACTATGATTCCTTTGGCCAAAGGCAAACATCTTTAATGGAACCATCTCCGCCTGAGCTACTCATCCCAGGCTCCCTTTGTAGTCAATTACAGGACAGACATGCTTTGAGGGGCAAATCCACCTGACCTAATTTAAGTGACTCTGCAGAATGGCATGAATTGGATCTCAAAAATTACTATTTCTTTCTACTGACTTCAAAGATGACAACCTCACATGTGGATATGCCCATTGCAGACAGCTACTTTTAGCCAGATTAACGCCAGACACCAAAGGCTTTCTAACACTGAACATGAAGAGATGGATTTGATTGCCAAGCTCCTTCACTGGAAATTTTTACAAACAAGTTTGACAAAGCTCTCACACATGCGGCTTAAGCGCTCTCCTTGGGAACAGAAGAAAGCACTGTGAAACTTCTCAAAGTCCCTTTTGAACCCCATCTTCTGATTTAACTCACAGCTGCCCACTAACTCAACGCCTCCTCTTTGTTTATCTCCTGGACAACTTCCTCATCAGCCCTGAGCACTCCCACTTCTAGTCTTACCTTCCAAATGTCCTGTTGGCTGTGTCTTTAATTTGGATTTGGATGATAGCGTGAGATCGAGAGGAATCCGAGTTGACTCCAGTAGCTCCTGTGCTACGTTCTTTCCCCCCCTTCAAAATCACCTGCAAAGTAAGGGGGCAAAATCCAAGCAAATTGTAAATAGAAACACAACCTTTCAGGAAGAGATTTTGTCTACATAAGATGAGGTAACAGTAGGAGGAATGGTTTCATTACAGCCTTAAAATCTGGCACGAGGCAGATGTTAAATTAGACTGGATCCCTTCCAATGTGCCTTTCAGAACTTTGCACGTGGATTTCCTTGCAGTGACACTACGGAGCTTGGAGAGCTTACTTGCAAGTAAGAAGTTGTTGCACCACATATTCACTCAGACTTGCAAAATATCCTGACTATGAAATTAAACACAAAAGTGTGGCAGAAATGAAATAAATTAAGACTACAGACATAACCTAAGAGACTCAGGGAATTGACTGTTTGTTGCGTTCTTTTAAAATTTCACTTTCTCATGTAATGGATGGGTGTGGTTATCCAGAAAGTTACACGCAGAATACAAAGTTCCAAAAACCTTTTTCCGTTTCCATAACTAAAAGAAATTATGCCAGAGTAAAGAACAAAGTTAAAAGATCAATTATACTCAATACAAGAATAAAATAAGAAAACAAGGAAGAGAGGCAGAACCACAAAGGTTCCTTCAAGATACAAATCTGGATAATTCACTTTTGCATATTTTTAAGGACTCTTGCAGAATGTCTAGGAACTGCAGCAGAGCATTCATAAAACAGTCATTAATTTTGTTTCCGGTTGTAAGAACAAATTAAAATATTATCTAGTAAAATCAATATGTTCTCAGTTGACAGATGTGCATTATTCATGCCTTTGAGTGGCCAGTTCTCAACCAGCAACCTAACCAACTGCTGCAGCTCATGAGCATTATATTAGTGTGAAACACACATAATTTCTGAACCAAAGCCAACATCAATGAATAGCAAATAACTAGGGATGCATTCAAGACTCTCTCCATATTATCTGCTGCAGGCTATTCAGAAGCTCCGAATCAAACCAGTGACATTTCTGTGCTCAAAAAGAACCTGTGGACAATATAAAATTACTTTTTTGCCGAGATACCTGTAAGAATGAAGTCATTTAACAGCTCATCTCTGTGTGGAATGTGATAATACAGAGGAATGTGTTAATCAACCATATAGCAAATTTACACTCTAATTTGCAGAAACATCATGAGCATGTCCTGAAGCTTGGAGTTAATGGGAAGATGAAGAAGAAAATTAAATAGAATATAAGTGGGCAACACCATGCCAATTTTAATTAGTCAATTACACTATCAGGCACTTGTAATTTACACTTCCTTACTGAGAAAGAAATTAAACTATGCAAAGTCAGGCTAAATAGAAATCAGATTTAACCAGCTGGCTTGCTGCGGGACAATGCAGAAAATTTGCCAGTGCTCTTTCAGGGCTCAGCCAGGCAGTTAAGGGAAACTGAAGCCTTACTTGTGCTGAACATCAGCTACTGTTTAAAGAATCTAATTTTACTTGGCCATTAATACCCATCATGATCTAAGCAATGTCTTAATCCTAGTTCAGATTATCTCAATTTTGAGTATTTTCTAATTTGTAGTTCTATTAATTTTCAAATTTGTATCTTCTGTCCCACACCTATGTACCTTCAACACAGAAAATTTAAGTTCAAAGAAGCCAAAGAAACTGGGAGAAAATACTTATCCAGCTTCCGGGGTCCCTTGCTGGGACAGTATTTAATTTCTGGAATAGTGATAGCAGTCTATTTCTTGGCAATGATCTTTCCTTCTTCTGGCAAAGGAGTGGCAGCAGAAGCGACAGCTGTAAATCAACAGCTTGCATATCATCCACAAGCCGCAGTGACCCAAGAAGATTACTGAATAAAGGCACTTTTAATAGCACTCCTCAGGGTTCTGCTGGGGTTGTCAATTTCAGAACCCTAAACAGGAACATGCAGAGGTACTACTGTCCTGGTTTCAGGTCGAACAGAACCAACTTTCTGTTCAGTAATTTTACATTTCAGCTATGCCTCTTCTTCTAATCCTCTGAAATTAACAGCATATTGTGAAGAAAACTGTTCGTTCTCAGTGTGTAAGACCGATGTCTGTACTTCATGCCAAGGAACAGTATGCAGAGAGGCTTTTCCTTATACTTATTGCTATAACAACCAAGGTCAGTTAATTTTGTTAGTTGCCCCGTTGGAGGGTCGGAAATGGAAAAGCGTAGAGGGGTCACAATTGTGGGGAGGAGCAGACAGGACAGGTGACCCAAACCTGACCAACAGGATATTCCATCCCATCTGCCCATGCTCAGTATAAAAGCTCAGGGACCAAAGGCTCAGTCCTTTTTCTTTAATGGCAGACATCCAAAGAGGATCTCTGTCCAAACAGAGACCCTGCCTTTGATCCTGATCTATGTTCCTGACTTCGGAGCTGGAATACAGTTCCCATCTGTTGCTGAGACCAGGCTGGTACTTCCCCAGTGCCTGCCAGTGCTGTCATCCTGGGAGCTTGATACAGTTTTGTATATATTGTATCTTTTTCATTATTTCCTTTTTTATTTTAATATTAATATTTAATTAAACTAGTTTAATTCATTCTAAACTCATAAATCTCTTTATCTCTCCCCTTTTTCTCCTGGAGTGAGAAAGTGAGGGAGAGCATCTGTCACTGTCGTAAGCCAATTTGGCTTTTTGTTAGTTGCCCCATTGGAGGGTCGGAAATGGAAAAGCGTAGAGGGGTCACAATTGTGGGGAGGAGCAGACAGGACAGGTGACCCAAACCTGACCAACAGGATATTCCATCCCATCTGCCCATGCTCAGTATAAAAGCTCAGGGACCAAAGGCTCAGTCCTTTTTCTTTAATGGCAGACATCCAAAGAGGATCTCTGTCCAAACAGAGACCCTGCCTTTGATCCTGATCTATGTTCCTGACTTCGGAGCTGGAATACAGTTCCCATCTGTTGCTGAGACCAGGCTGGTACTTCCCCAGTGCCTGCCAGTGCTGTCATCCTGGGAGCTTGATACAGTTTTGTATATATTGTATCTTTTTCATTATTTCCTTTTTTATTTTAATATTAATATTTAATTAAACTAGTTTAATTCATTCTAAACTCATAAATCTCTTTATCTCTCCCCTTTTTCTCCTGGAGTGAGAAAGTGAGGGAGAGCATCTGTCACTGTCGTAAGCCAATTTGGCTTAAACCATGACAACTATACAATAAATAACAGTATCTGTAAATGACATATCTCACAAATAAGCAAATAAGTCTGTAGAAGACAAAAAATTATCGCAAACATAGAGGTTACCTCCAATAGCAGATCTACAGAGTCCACCTGAACCTCCCGCAGTCCAACTATTTGAACGACGTGTTTGCTGTCTTCTCTTGCAAACAGTCTGGAAATGAAATAGCGCACAAAGAAGATTTCTGAAATCTCAAATAGTAGCAATGAAAACACATTTCAGTGCTACAACACTGTGAAAAAGCAGCCATGGCTACTGACTGAGGGGAGGATCACTGTCATTCATTTATTTTCAGAGCTGAAGTATTTAATTTATAAGATGTACCACTGACATTCCACTGTTAAAGAGGAATTGGCAATGCATTTCTGCTAGTTCAGGAATATAATAAAGCAGTGAAGTAAATTATCATGTTTACATTTTAGAGTTCCTGTCTCTCTTTAAACTGCATCTCAGACCTCTCTTGGAAGTTCAGACTGTGAGTTACGCTTCGTTCAAGTTGTCAAGATTTTCAGCCAGGATTTTAAAGCAGCTCCCATAGCCACAGAGCCAGATTTCAGAGCACCTCTGCTCTGACTCACACAGAAGCATTACAGTGTATGGGAAGGGCACAGACATGATGCACACAGGAGGAAGTTTAATCTTCTCATTCAATGACATGTAGGACAGTTAATGGGCACGCAGAGAATATAACACTCTTTCTTCCTTAGTAAATCAACTCCTTACATAGCAGATTACACTGACTGTGTCTCAAAGGCTGTTTTGGAGAAAGGGAACACACATGCATGGAAATAGGTGCTTCCTGTGTGAAGAGATAGATGCTCACTCCCCCAGGCAGAAGGCCTCCCTCCTGAGCCCTCTAGTGTGCTCTAAGGATAGTGCTCTCCAGGTTCCTAAAGGCCTCCACCTGACAGGTGATGTTCCCTCAAGATCACTCTGAAAAGATTTCACTGCTCAGATCTCAACTGACTGTTATTTTATTTAGAGATTTCAGACCACAATGATTTTTTTTATACCAAGTATGTACTGAGTTGTGCCAATTCCCATTCCAGATGGAGCTCCTGCAGGAGTATGTATCCACCCAAATGATTTGGGGGCTGAAATGCTACTGCTGAGGGTGATGGAAGCATCTCCTGCAGAGGCTTGCTCTGGCTGAGTCACTGGGCTGACAGGTAAAGGTGCTCAGGTAGAAGGGGAGCAGACTCTGCAGTGACAAGCATGATGAGTGGGAGATCAAAGGGGTCTACAGAGACTAGAGTGGCAAGAGCCAAAGCCCCCCTGGCACAGCAAGAGGGACAGCCAGAGGTTATGTTTGAGCAGGGGAACACAGGGGCTCCACAATGGTTCAAGTAAGAACTTCTGGCCACAACAAGGTTCTTTCTCTATCTATGGATGTTGAGCTATAACATTATCACAGTGCAAGCAAAGCAGCATGAGCTCATATTCAACCATCGGTCCTTATTCTTACTTATTCCACCCCCCAAAATAGTAAAAACCAGGAGGCCTTATCAATGCCACAGTATTTAGTGTCAGATTCTGCCTTCCTCTCTAACTAGCTCCTAGGTACACCCTAAGTACATAACTTGTACTATAAATGGTAACATGTAATTGCATGAAACTGTAACTGATTTATAAACAGTAACCGACTGATTCATAACCATAGGTTTATAGCAACGCGTATTTTTATTTAAATACCTCTTCCTTCTGTTTAGCAAGTCATAAAGCTGTCCGCAGTAGATCTCATAAAAACTGATCAAAACAAGGAGATCTTTCCTTGACGGTGATGCTTCCAGGTGTCTAAAGATGTCCTTGGCAGCCAAGGCGTAGAGTCCTGGGTTCCGGTGAGTACCTATCATGGTGTAAGTCTTGCCAGCACCAGTCTGCCCATATGCAAAGCAGGTTGCATTGCCTCTGAGAAAATAACATATTTTTAGTTTATTCATACCTATTAAAAAAGATTCTGCAGTGTCTATATCTATCTATAGTGGCCTCATAGCAATGAGGTTTGGTTTGCTATCTTATCTGGGAAACTGCAAAAAACACTTAACAGTGATTCTCAAGCGTGTCCTGTGGAGAACTGGCGTGTCACGAAGTGCTGGCTGTCTTCCTTTCTTCCAGATGCCAAAAATGCATCGAAGGGAACTAAGAATTCATTATTACTCTTCCAGCTGTTTAGATGCTACATAAGTATCATAGGATTATGAATGGGTGCCCTACTGACTATGAATCACAGAGAAAAATGACCGTGATATGAGATGCAAAACAGCCACAAGTCAGGCTCTATATGAACACATGTTGTACTTGATGAAAATTAACACCGCAGCATTATAATTTACTGAGTGAAGTTAGTTAGTCTCAGGCTGCAGTCCTGCTAAGTCAATCTAAAGGCTTGTCATTGCTTAGGGGAAGGTCTTGCTCTTCCTGTCCTCTGCTCCCAGCTGTGTGACCGACCCCGCTGACCCACCCCTCCCTCTGCTGCCTCTGATGTTTGACTTCACTGCAACAGCAGAAGGCTTTCCACTTTTTTTGCAAGCTAATTTTCTGCTGTTCCAGTGGATTAAAGTACACCTCACAAAGGATCACAGAATATGCCCAAATTGGCTTCATGTAACCTATGAGAATGTGTCTAGTGAAAGGTAAGGAACAGATTCATCAACTTTCAGTGGCAGAGAGCTGTTGGGCTCACTCACTGTCTGCCAGATTGCTCTAGTTTTGGCATCATTATCACCTGATAAGTGATATTACCAGGTGATAGTGTCCATGCACATACAGTTCCAAGGATGTCTCAGGATACAGCCCAAACTGCACTTCAAGCCCATCTAAATTGAGGTTATTGTGTGCCTACTTCTCCTTCCTCACCCTTGCTTTTATACAAGCATGGAACCCACAAGTATGATGTGAACAGATTCAGGGAACTGAAGAAGAAATACTACGGAACAAATTATTTATTACTCCCCTACCTTAAAAAAGGACTTTTTAGCTGGCTCAGTATCCTGGCAGAGAAATGTGTAAAAAGGTAGGGCTGCAGTAAGCATAGGGAACAATTTCTTGAGAGCCTAGATTTCAGAATTAGCTCACCATGGTGTCATATTAGAGCAACGTGAGTGAAAGGGATGCAGCAGGAGGGACAGAAAAGTTAGGGAAAGCTGAGAAAAAACACTGGCATGTCTTTTGGTGGCATTACTGGATTAGCTGTAATGTGAGCTGTGCCTTTAGTAATTACTACACAGCAAGCTACAAGCCTCATTCTCCTTTTTCACTTGCCTTTTCTCAAGAGCATGACACTGTCTATCTTTGCTGATGATACTTGAAAATTTTCAGTAACAGAATGCTCCATTTTGTTAATTTTCACCATGGATATGTAAATCTTTCCTTCAAAGACTCAAAACCATAATTATATTCACGCTTGTTACTTTGTGTGAAAATAGGGTCACTCATGTAAAGCCACCATCAATTTCCCATTACTCAGGAAGTATGTAGTCGTAATTAAATCTCTAAGCAACTATAAATCAATAAAATAAAAGTAAATCCCAAGGTAATTAATAATTTCTATTGCCCTGTGAATGGTACAAATACATAAAAAAATATTTCACTGCAGTTTCATGAAAGAGGTAACGCTATTCCTCTAGAGATGAACGTGCTATACCACACAGAAGCTTTTGTTAGAGTGGAGATTAGACTTCAGAAATCCTGGCACACATTTTTTCATTCTAGGCTGGCCAGGGTGTCTCTTTGTTGCAATGGACCTTTGTTGAAGTACAATTTTAACTTCCTCCGTGATTTAGATTTCTCACCAAATGTGAAGAAAGTTTCCCTTGATTTATTTTGCAAAAATTGCAAAGATATTCTAAAAGGGGGAAGGTATGTGGCAAAGGTGAAATGAATGTATTGTGCAAAAGATGAAAATTGCAAAAGGAAAATTAAAGCAGTATATGAAATTGAAAAACAAAAAGGCAAAAAATAACAAATGTAAGCGCTGATGCCCTACCCGTTAAAAATATGCTGAATGAGAGGATGAGCTGTCTTCATATACACATCCTGATTGGTACATGACTCCCCAAAGACTTCATCAAAATAAAAAACATGCTGAAAAATAAATATGAAAAAGAAATATGGTCTTTACATGAAAATGAATATGTTTCACGTCCCCTTCATTCCCACTCAAAGGTAAATTTAAAAACAGAAGTCCTTCTAGTGACTTCATATGACTTTGGATCAGGTACAGTGTGATCTAGCACATTTAACATGCAGCATGACATATGCAGCAACACATCATTACAACTAATCAAGGAGAATGAAGGTAGAGGGAAAAAAAAAAAGAAGAAAGCAAATATGCCTTAATTCCCCGTCATTCTGAAGCAGAACAAACCATAGCCTTCTGAAAAGGGAGGAGGAAAAAAAAAAAGAAAAATACTAATTAAAGAAAACCCTCATCTATTCCTGAAATGGGTCAGCCTACAGATGTATGGTAAGACTATAACAATAAAAAGAATTCCATGTACTGTTGACTCTCTCAAAATTAGTCCTCAGTTGTGATTACTTGTCTCTGTTTTGTCTCTGTTCTGCAGACTTAAAAACTTTGTGCCATAGAAGAGAGAGAAGTTATTCCTAAACAAAGCTGGATTGTATTATCTCAGAAGGGGGCAAGAAAACCCAAAACTTCTCATGCTCCCAAATCTGACCCAAAAGCAGCAAGGTCTCTGGAAACACTGTAACAAAGTTCATTTATGGGCTCCTTCTAGATTAAGAATAGCCTTTGTAGGGATGGTCACAAACATTACATTTTCAAAAGAGCCTCCATGGACTGGACTGGTGTCTAACATTCTCCACGGTGTAAATTAAGGTGGTGGACCTCCAGGATGGAGAATCATTTCCATGATGCAGAAACCACAATAACACACAGGCAGGTTAAACCAGGGAGTCTCAGCAGCTGCATTCAGCTCAGAGGGCAGATGTGCTCCACGATGGGCTCTCTGCACTGTGGGTCTCCCACCACTTCCCAAAACTCTCTACACTCTCTACCCCTTGCTCTCCTTGCTACAGGAACCAGAGATGGAGGCAGGGCAAGCAGCCAGACTTGAAAACAGAGTTCTCAAGGGTTCTATAGGATAGACACAGACTTTGCCATGGCATACTTTTGTTTGGACTATATTGGTTAATAGCAAGATTTCATTTGTCTGTACTGACATAACGAATTTAAAGTAGCGGTTATTTCAGCACTGAGATACTAAGAAGATAAGCATGGTGTAAATGCCAAATATAGGTAGTCAGATGGAGGGAGTGGGGTGGAGTTACTGCATGTGTCACACCGTAAAAGGTGGTACATGAACCAGGCCCGAGAGAGCTGCAAACTGAATTTTTACTGGATACTCCAGGCAGTTGTTCCTAGGACCCAGACTGTAAAAATAACACCCAGTAGAGCGAGGATGGCTTGCTGCTCTCTAGAAATCACTTCTGTTCCTGGTGCTGTCTGTCAAAAATGAGAATTTGAAGTATGGCAGCACAAGGTATTTGGGATTAAGAAACAAAGACCAAAAGGGAGCTTAATTTTCAGAAGCACTTGAGAACAAAGGAAGGGAGGGGGATGAGGGTGTATGTGATTCATTGAAACAGACCTACAGTGCTGAAATAGTGAAAAGTGAAATCCTCACTGAAGTACCCTGGAAAACTACCAGGAGACTGCAGCAGGCAATCCCCCTGCAGCAACGGCACGTAGCAGAGGGTTTTATTTTGCCATGTGCAAAGAGAGCTGCAAGAGACATGTTTCTTGAGGCTTAAAATCCTGGGCTCAGGTTCTCTGCCACAGGCTGCCATAAGTCAGAAGCAAGTGAAGTGTACCTACGCTGAGCTCACAGAAGAGCCCACCACCTATTTCAGTGCAAGAAATGCAGAGAGCCTTTTTCTGTTTCCCCTCAATTAAACTCCAAGCACACTTCGCTTTATCCCACCATGCAAGTAACTGGCCCTTAAACACAACATTCAAGTGGAGCATGTTACCTGTAAAATATACTGGGTGAGATCAACTGCCTCCTTCTTCTCATGAAGAAGCAGGGTTTCTTTATCTTTCACTGTGATGATATTAACCTCCCCACGTCGCTCTTCTCTCAGGCCTAGAGGACGTTTTCGGACACACACTCTGATTTTTTCACTCTCTGTCCATGGAGTCTCTTTCTCAGAAGTACTGGATCTACAACAACAGTGTAGGTTTATGTTTTAAAATCAGGTTACTACAGAACCTAGAATATGCATAAACTTGTTAGATTTATCAATTTCATTTTTAAAGATGTTTCTCTCTTTAATGGCTTATAACACCAAACCAAAACAAAACACATCTCATTGTTAGGGGTGAAGTTTCTGCTGTTCTTTCCTAAATAGACTGATGTCTTTTGTGCGCTTCTGTTAAAAGAATAATTGTGTTCATAAATCCACATTCTTGAACTTGTTGCAGGACTGGCATATTTTCAATTGTCCACAAACATGATTGAAGCTGGTATATTATCCAAGTTAACGTTATGAAATTTAATCTTGCTGAAATTATTCACAGTCATGATTACTTAATAATGTACAGATAAAAATATGACCAGATCTTGAAAAGGAGAGGGTATAATATTTAGTAGTTTTTCCTCTTACACTCACTTTCATTCTTCCTATTACAGGCTGTCAAACAGGTTACAAGAAATGACTCAAGGGAGTACGACAGTATTTTACATTTTACAGTAAACTGGGAAACAAGACAGTATCACCATGTTCCTATTCAGCTCAAAGAAAATTTGAAATATTGATCTCATCATTGTCTCCCCTTTGGTATTTTGTCATAAAAAATTATGTGGTTTCAGACCACAGGCAAAATTGTACTTTTGTGTTTTGTTAAGTCTACTTTATTTCCCTTCCAAATACCTCAGAAACATAAGGTCATTTCGTGTTTCATTGATTAACCTGCTATATAAGGCATTTTGTGATGCAGCATACAGAATACATTTGAATCCAATCAAAATATGCTCATTCCACCTTTCCCTTTTACAAGCTGTCTTTGGACAAATGAGTAATGATTTTCAGCCTGGGTTTGAATGTCAATTTGTGAGAAAAAACCAATTTTAATCAAGCCCCAGCTTGCCCAAAAGTAGTGTTTCTGCCTTGCTGTCTCAATGCCCTTCCAAAATCTCTTAATGTAGCAACTGAAAACTCACATATACTACCAGTCTAATAAATTAAAACCAAACTCACAAGTTACTCAGTATCTCATTGCAGCTAAAAGCCTGTAGTATCATTGCTGTTGTGCTGCATGATTCCCCCTGACCATATGGCATCAAATATAAATCTCAAGATTCAAAGACTACATACGAGTAATCTTTACTTGTAACTGGAGTCCCTTTAATTTTAGTGCAGCTTTCCCATGCAGACCAAAATCAGACCCTGCATTTAGATGGAAAATTCTTTCCCCTGAAAAGAAAGGCAATGATACTTGAAATAAGATGCTTCATAAGCTCGTGTGAGCTTATGGATGTCACTAGGCACCAAATGTTGTCCACCAAATGATCAGAGGCTCTGAAGTTTATTTCTCATGCTAGAGGCTGGATTTGGTAACCTACAGAAAGAGTATGTTGTGCTTCAAGAGCTTGAAGGAGGAAGGACTGATTCCAACATTTGGAGAAAGGAAAAACCAAAGACTTAGAGGCTCTGTTTATGCCAGAAAAGGCATAAATTCTTTCTAGAGCAGAGGCACATTTAATTGAATATATTTTGTATGGGAACAGAATGCATTTTAATTCTACATGGTAAACCTGAAGTTTAGATTTTCCATTAACCTTTCTTAAATGAAAATTGTATTTTATAACAAAACATATTTTTTAATGACTAAAAAAACTAGAAGTCTTGACACAGATCATTAGAAACCTGATTAGACAATAGGACAGAAGAATCACTATGCCCTGTCTGCTACAGGGCTGCCATTTGCTATGGGTAAATGCAAAATATATTTAAACCTATTAAAAGAGCTCTTTATCTTTCTGCCATCTGAAATTGTGACAGTGTTTTCCAATGTTTCTCATAGATGAGACTAGACTATCCTTCACAGTTGTCAAATCACAAGGTGACATGGGAATGAATGGATTCAGTGAAGGAGTTGGGCACTTGGAAAACAGGAATCACAAATCCAAGTGTCAGCAGACTGGCCCAAGCCTGGAATGCACAACACGTACTCTGTGGTCAAAACAGAAGAAAAAGAAACTTAGGCACGTCAGGAGGAGGATGCAGAAAGCCCACAGGCACAGAAGAATGTGCTTAGAGAAAAAGAGAAGAACAAGGAAGGAAAGTGAGAACAATGCACAACATGGCTGTACCACAGGAGTAAAAATCCTGGATTTCTATAGCTGAGAAGTTCTCTGGAACTTCTGGATTTTTTTTTCCCAGGAAAGAGGTGTTAAAACCTCTGTCTTTCATTCCATAGTTTAAGTGCTCAAACTATTATGTCATCTTAGTACTTTTCCACTGTGGCAACAGCATCTATACCTCCAGGCTACATGCACGCTCAATGGGAGATGTAGCTGACACCTCGACTCCATGGATCCTCCCATTCCCCACAGCCTTCCCGGACCAAGCCCCAACCTCATACTGCTACCTCTCTTCACTGCATTTTAAAACAAAACTGCTACGACTGCGTTGCAATGAACCAGACGCTGGTAGTATCTGTGCAGAGGGGTATATGCTCTTCTCCTGAACCAGGAAAAAAGTATTTCGTGCTTTAAAAATGTTTCCAGGGTAGATTTACCTGTGGTTCAAGATAACCATAGCCTCTCTGTTACCAAACACTGGGAGAAGTATGAAAGTCACAGATCATGGGCTTGGGAAAGCATCCCTTTCACCACCATGTCTGCATCCCATCCCACTTACATTCATTCTGTTTCTTTTTAAAGCTGTAGTTCAGAAATTTCTATATAAACAAGTATAGCCATCACTGCGGTATCCTTTTTATCAGCAAAAACTTGAGAAACTTATCAAAAGACAATGCCATATTTTGGAAAAATAACATTTTGCAATGTAATCTCATGGAAAGAAAGAGACAAAGATTGGCCAAAACACCAAGAAAATAAAGCCTTATATCCTGAAAGACAATGAAGACTATTCTTAGACAAGCTTGGTGAGCAGCAGCTGGTGAAATTCAGCTGATTCCTTCTACCAGACTTGGAGAGTCATAAATGCTTATTAATATCTCTCTTCTTGATAAGATTTTGCATTGCTCTGTAGTGGTAGGATTGCTTATTTGGAGGTGATGAAGATAGATTCTCCTCCACAAAGAAAAAAGAATTAATTATGACTAATGAAATATAGCCAAATAAAGGCAACTGATTATTACCTGATACAGGAATGAGGTAGTCCGTAATTATACCCTGAAATATGAGTTATTCTTTGTATAATAGGAGCTTCAGAATCCCCTATGAGAGGAGCAATATCATCAGAAACTGTCGGACAGCTCAGGTCCTTTTTTGTGCATATTCCAGGAGTATTTAGGTCTCTTCTAGTTAATCTGATCAGCTCTGAATCGTGTGGTTGAACGTGTCCCAACATTTCCCCTACACTGTTCTTCTCATCATTGGCACTGAAATCAGATGAACCATATGATTCAGATTCAGAGTCTTTAACTGTTCCACCATTTTCTTCAAAGAAAGACTCAAAACGCAGCTGTCTACGGGGACCTGATCTGGTCACCTGGGGCTGAATGAAAAGGCCACTTGGTTGAAAGTCTTGCTTGCTTAAGTCTGCAATGTCTTCCTCTTGCATAATTTTGATTATTCTAATGAGCTGAAAGAGTCGTTTGCGGTCATTCATGTCATGGACTCCCAGTTTGGTATAATCTTTCATGGAAACTTTGGCAAGCTCATCAATCTTCTGAAGGCCAAAGGCAGCAAAATGGGGATAGTACTTTTCAAGTTCTGCCTCACAAAGGCATTCATAAAGGCATGATGCCATCTTCAAGCTAAAGTCTACAAGAAATCAAACAAAATAAGTATTAGAATCCTATGAAACATCACATCTAACAAAGTTACTACTGAAGAAACTACACATTTCCTGATGCCATTACCTGCAGTTAGTCTAGAAGCTTGTTTAAATCGAAGTTTACAATACACTAGACTGCCAAACACTACAGAATATAGCAATAACAATAAGCAAACCAGGAAACAAATATTTTATCTATGAAACTATATTTTAAAAATATAGATAATACACAATAATGTCTAAGAAATGCACAATGCAGTGTTACTTACTGCTGCTGAGTTCCTAAACGCCTGATGTCTACTTGATGAATGCCGCAGCTACTGAAACCCTGTCCTCAAGCTACAGAATGTAAAATGCCTAATTTTAGACACCCAATTTAATATCAGGGCATGTGGTCTAATATGGTTCAGCTATCCCTTGTTAACTAACCAAAGGAGAAGAAATTGCATTTGTCCTCACCCCAAGCTAAGTAATTAAGACCATTCATCTTACAGATGAACTACTACTACAGATGAACTACTATTTTTTGTTGTGTAACTTTCTCTTGTATGTCATGAATCTTGTGAGCATTTCTAAGTGTCCTTGACAGAATAACCAAAACACTCTGCAAAATCTGAAATACAGAATTTCTCTAAATCTATATATGCTACTGGAACGCCGTACTTGCATTCTTGGGAAACCCAAAAAAGCAACAAGCTACACTGAAAGGTATGCCAAAAAACCCTCAAGTCCTTCACTTGTGTCTCCCTAGCAATGCATTGTGCAGCTGTCTGTATCCAGATGGATTAATATCTGCAGATATTTTTACTTGTTCCATAAAATGGAAAAACGATAGCACTTCAAGTATCTGTTGCCCACTGCCTTCTTATATCTTTGTTGAGTCTAGGACTTTAGCAAACACAGTTCTTACTCATGTTTGGAGGTTTCAATAACATGCAACAAAACCAAGTTATTTAAGAAAAAGTTCCCCTTTCTGTAATTTAGGGTGAATTCTTTGCCAGGATTTTCAAGCATCCTTACAATAGCATTATATAATAAAATAAAGTCACCAAAAAGCACTCCCAAATTTTATTCCATATTATTAAAACATTATATTGAAATAATAACAACAAATGAATAAAGATTAAATGAAAGTGCTGATTGTATAAGATATTAGCAAAGTTGTATTTTTTGTTGTGTAACTTTCTCTTGTATGACTACAGATGAACTACTATTTTTTGTTGTGTAACTTTCTCTTGTATGTCATGAATCTTGTGAGCATTTCTAAGTGTCCTTGACAGAATAACCAAAACACTCTGCAAAATCTGAAATACAGAATTTCTCTAAATCTATATATGCTACTGGAACGCCGTACTTGCATTCTTGGGAAACCCAAAAAAGCAACAAGCTACACTGAAAGGTATGCCAAAAAACCCTCAAGTCCTTCACTTGTGTCTCCCTAGCAATGCATTGTGCAGCTGTCTGTATCCAGATGGATTAATATCTGCAGATATTTTTACTTGTTCCATAAAATGGAAAAACGATAGCACTTCAAGTATCTGTTGCCCACTGCCTTCTTATATCTTTGTTGAGTCTAGGACTTTAGCAAACACAGTTCTTACTCATGTTTGGAGGTTTCAATAACATGCAACAAAACCAAGTTATTTAAGAAAAAGTTCCCCTTTCTGTAATTTAGGGTGAATTCTTTGCCAGGATTTTCAAGCATCCTTACAATAGCATTATATAATAAAATAAAGTCACCAAAAAGCACTCCCAAATTTTATTCCATATTATTAAAACATTATATTGAAATAATAACAACAAATGAATAAAGATTAAATGAAAGTGCTGATTGTATAAGATATTATATAGCCCAAAAGGTGCAGTAGAGGATATCTACAATTACTTAGAAGCTAGAGTCTAAGCTGTAGACAGTTCCTAGACATAAAGAAATTATGAGATTAATCAGTAACAAACTTCAAGGCAAAAACATTGGTGCGTAGGTGGACTTATTTAATGTGTATGTAATGCAATTCTGAATCTTGAGGTAAAGTCAGCACCACTACAGAGATTATTAGATCCTGGGAGGTGGAAATCAAAATTGACAGAGAGGATAGCAAACCCAAAGATCACGGAGGCTAACTATGACACAAGTGCAAGGGTTTTCACAAGGGTTCACAATTTGCCAACTTCTCTAACAGATAAAATTCCACAGGAACTTCAGTCTTCATTTAAAGAATGGTTATGTTTTTGAAAAAATGCCTATCTTACATTAGGTATCTTTAAATACAAAACCAGTACAGGACCTGTGTAATAGTCTGCATGCGGTGCCATGTGAAACTTGTTTTGTTTCATGAAAGGAGTAGCTAGAACACAAAGCTGAGACATCATTCTCAAAGTACTAAGTATCTGGTAAAAAGTAAGAGAATCCAGCAAATTTCTTTCACCTATTCTCATTCTGTATCCTAGATTACACTCACATCTTTATATAAACTTAAGTTAAATACAGAGTAGCCAAAGACCAGTGCAAGAACTAATTCAGTGATAACCCCTTTTTGAATGATAATGTTGAGCACAGGAGAGAGAAAAGTGGATAAAAAGGAAAAAAAATAAATTGAATCTCTTCCTAAAACAAGAACACCATACAAAGGGAGAGAACTAAGAATGTTAAGCTCAAGGTTCAAATTAAAAATTAAACAAAAAATATTTAAATAGATAGAAATGACTGTACAGGCAGATTTGTATTATCTGGGGCAACAAGGGACTAAGTTTCTCAAAATACAGAAAATCCAAGTAATATAGGTACCACAGAGCATAAGGGAAGGTTAGTACTGAGACATATAAGCAGCTCTGCACAGCTTATTGGTGTCATGAATCTTGTGAGCATTTCTAAGTGTCCTTGACAGAATAACCAAAACACTCTGCAAAATCTGAAATACAGAATTTCTCTAAATCTATATATGCTACTGGAACGCCGTACTTGCATTCTTGGGAAACCCAAAAAAGCAACAAGCTACACTGAAAGGTATGCCAAAAAACCCTCAAGTCCTTCACTTGTGTCTCCCTAGCAATGCATTGTGCAGCTGTCTGTATCCAGATGGATTAATATCTGCAGATATTTTTACTTGTTCCATAAAATGGAAAAACGATAGCACTTCAAGTATCTGTTGCCCACTGCCTTCTTATATCTTTGTTGAGTCTAGGACTTTAGCAAACACAGTTCTTACTCATGTTTGGAGGTTTCAATAACATGCAACAAAACCAAGTTATTTAAGAAAAAGTTCCCCTTTCTGTAATTTAGGGTGAATTCTTTGCCAGGATTTTCAAGCATCCTTACAATAGCATTATATAATAAAATAAAGTCACCAAAAAGCACTCCCAAATTTTATTCCATATTATTAAAACATTATATTGAAATAATAACAACAAATGAATAAAGATTAAATGAAAGTGCTGATTGTATAAGATATTATATAGCCCAAAAGGTGCAGTAGAGGATATCTACAATTACTTAGAAGCTAGAGTCTAAGCTGTAGACAGTTCCTAGACATAAAGAAATTATGAGATTAATCAGTAACAAACTTCAAGGCAAAAACATTGGTGCGTAGGTGGACTTATTTAATGTGTATGTAATGCAATTCTGAATCTTGAGGTAAAGTCAGCACCACTACAGAGATTATTAGATCCTGGGAGGTGGAAATCAAAATTGACAGAGAGGATAGCAAACCCAAAGATCACGGAGGCTAACTATGACACAAGTGCAAGGGTTTTCACAAGGGTTCACAATTTGCCAACTTCTCTAACAGATAAAATTCCACAGGAACTTCAGTCTTCATTTAAAGAATGGTTATGTTTTTGAAAAAATGCCTATCTTACATTAGGTATCTTTAAATACAAAACCAGTACAGGACCTGTGTAATAGTCTGCATGCGGTGCCATGTGAAACTTGTTTTGTTTCATGAAAGGAGTAGCTAGAACACAAAGCTGAGACATCATTCTCAAAGTACTAAGTATCTGGTAAAAAGTAAGAGAATCCAGCAAATTTCTTTCACCTATTCTCATTCTGTATCCTAGATTACACTTACATCTTTATATAAACTTAAGTTAAATACAGAGTAGCCAAAGACCAGTGCAAGAACTAATTCAGTGATAACCCCTTTTTGAATGATAATGTTGAGCACAGGAGAGAGAAAAGTGGATAAAAAGGAAAAAAAATAAATTGAATCTCTTCCTAAAACAAGAACACCATACAAAGGGAGAGAACTAAGAATGTTAAGCTCAAGGTTCAAATTAAAAATTAAACAAAAAATATTTAAATAGATAGAAATGACTGTACAGGCAGATTTGTATTATCTGGGGCAACAAGGGACTAAGTTTCTCAAAATACAGAAAATCCAAGTAATATAGGTACCACAGAGCATAAGGGAAGGTTAGTACTGAGACATATAAGCAGCTCTGCACAGCTTATTGGCTAAGGCTCTGTGCCATGTGAAAGCAGCTAAATAGCTTCTTAATGAGAGCTGGGCTGGGAAGTAATTTAACTGCTTCTGCTTCCCCGGATAAAATAAATCTTACTGGATCTAAGTGGTTTCAGGAGACAACTCCAGTGTCTCTCCATTCATAGAACAGCAACTTCACAACCCAGGAAAACTGAACTGAGTAATAAAGGAGAAACAAATTAATTAACCATGGGGAAAAAAATAAGGAAATATAATGGGTATGGATTCCAGCATTTCTGATTACTTTAAAACTCAAGAGTAGGCAGTTTTCTAAAAGATCTGTTGTTTCATATGCAAGACAAATCAGGGGAAACTGCAGCCATCAGTGAAAACCTTCCAGCCTTATAATGGGCGATGCTCTAAAAGGAGTGCTTTTCTCCTCACTAAAAGAATACTTTAATTTCTCCAACACTGCACAGTCCTTTGTGCCTGAAGACACTGTTTCTAAAACAGATACATAATTCTTCAAAATAAACTGTCTTTGTAAAGAAATACGAGGAGCATTAGTAGGTTTTCAAGAATCCTAAACTGTTAATGACAATGCCATCTTCTGGCAAAAAAAGAGAAGACTTTTACTTTTTTAGAATGAATAACAGCCAACATTGTGTGCTGGGACAGAAAAATATAACATTTTTCAGTGTACTAGTTTCATAACAAAGCCCAGGTCTTGTTCCCTGCAAAGCTCTGGGTGGCTTCACTGTAAAGAGGATTGAAACAAAAGCCTAGGACTTCTTAAAATGGTTGGATAAAACATAGGTTTGAGTACAGAGGCATAATTTTCCATGAGCACTCAGTTATAAGGTCAGATAGTCCCAGGCCCTAAGTAAAACTTTTCACCCAGTCTCTATTACAACATTGTTTAGAATTCTTCGCTGTTCAGTGGTTGATCTTCTCACTTTAGCTGGCAGAAAGACTCAGCTTCACTTTGAAATTCTCACCACCTTCTCAAACAAGGGACCTGCTTTGCCACTGACAAAAAGACGCCAAGGCTGGTCAGTGAAACAGTGAAGTCAACGAAGTCCAGAGCATCTTCACCGACCAGCTTTACTTACACAAGCCAGCAGCGAGGGTGAAACAGTTAGTGGTGATACATACACCTTCCTGCTGGAACACCTGGGATGTCTGAAAAAGTCAGCCCCTCACCTTTATGTAGCAAACCTGAGTTCTCTACAACTCATTTCTTATGCAAGGAATTGCAAAGATCTTAAAAGGCTGCCAGATGCTGGTAACGGGTAAGTGCTTGTTGTGAAAAAGCATTAGAATTTTATATAAAGGGAACAACTCAAAGCACAGACTAAGATCCCAGCTTGTCATCAGAGACGTCCTCCTCTGTTGCAGTAATAGAGGATTTTTAAAGGTCATAAAGCTGGGGAAAAAAGAAAAGTCAGGCATAAATAGCAGAAATGAGTGGTTACATTTTACATTTCTGAAGGAAATTAACTTACCACAAAATTATGCTCTAGGAGCTGACCCTCCATTTTAAAATGCTTTTATTTATTAATTAGCTCTTACACAGACCTTTTCATTCTCAATGCACTTTTCAAAGTGGAGAAGAGGCTAGCCTTCAAAGATACTCAGTGAGTGTCAGTCCCGTGCATAAAATAAATCACGTAAAATCCCTACGTAGACTATTTTAAGAATAAAGCAGCCTTAGACCACTACATCTTGATCCTTATTAACCTCTGATATATTAAAGATCTCAGTGCACCATTCACTTGAATAACACTCATGTGCCCTCTATTTCCAATGTAGCTCAATCATATTTACCTGGTAATTTTAGCTGACTGCCACTCACAATCCTGAGTGTCACCACTGAGACATGACACAAATATCACTATATCTGTATATTAAACCAGGGAAATTTAGTCATGGCAAAGTGAAGAAATCTTATGTGGCACCCCTTCAAAGACAAACTAATGCAACTCTACTTTTAATCCTGCAAATAATCTAGAGAGAATAATTCTGAATCGTGAACTCTGATAATTAAGTAATTTCATTAGCAACAATTTTCAAGGGCATCTGATAAGTGTAGTAATTGCTTATCAGTGTACAAAACCAAACAGCACCTTGTTTTCCTGCCTATCACTTTGTATTACGTAAATCATTTCGCTTTACAGGTACCTTACAAAAACAGAAGTTAAGAATTTACAAAATTTGTAAAGGCATGTAGCAGGTAGGTATGCTTCCTTCCCTGACCACAACTGTAAGTACAGCGTATTGTGCTCCTTACTTGTAACCACGTCACCGCAAACAAGTCTTCAGAATAGGCTCCGTCGGTGTCAAAGTGTTTGCTGCTTTTTGAAGTACAGAAGCAGAAGACTAGAACAAACCTACAACAGAGAAAAGGGAGACTTATTAACTCACATCACCAGTCCTCCATCTTTATTTCTTCTTATTCATCTGAACATTAAGCCGTTTTTTCACCGCGTAAAAGCCAAATCAGATTTAGCCCTCCAGATGTGAATGGCTAATTTGCTTTTCCAGAGCACCACACAAAATGCTTTACCTTTAATCATTCTGACCCCATTCCTTGGAAACTAGGGTATTCCTCTGAAGAACAGGGTCAGGGTGCGGTTGCACTTTTATAAACACAAGCTCCCGTAATAAGGGATAATCTGTACTGTAACACGAGTTCGTAATTTTAGTTTCATGCAGTAGCTAGGGATCTATGGAACAGTGTTTGACGTTGCAGCAGATCCCTTTGTAAGATCATAGGATTACAACTCCTCGTGCACGTACACAACATGGTATTAAACAGTCTGTTGCTCACTGGAACAAGTGTGGTAGTAGCCTGTTTTGAAGATCCAAGGAACAAGCTGAATACTACTAACAATTAACCACCTATAGTTTCTGCATAGTAAAAGTAATCAGAGAGCAGGGAATGCTTTTAATATTAACTGAGCATGATTTTACAGTTGGCCATGGTGCAGCTCCTCTCCCTGCAGCAACACTATCATTTCCTGCACTACTGACATACTAACACAGGGTTTGGTTAGCAAAACTACAATTAATTTCATTGCTCTTTCAAACAGACTCTAAACCAACAACTAAATATTGCTTGGTTGTTTAGTGGGGTGCTTTGTGGGGGTTTTTTGTGTGTTTTCCAACATAATATTTTTCAATTGGCAAGAGCCTGGTATTTTTTACAATCAATTCTCCATACTAAGTATAGTCTGGTGATCTCAGCAGAAGAGCCTCCATCCTGCAGCTGATCCCCGGCAACTGCTTAAAACAACAGCTGCATGGAAATGGGAAGTGTCTAATATTCAACCGCACGCTAAGAAAATAACCCACAAGTTATATTGGGATGCTGATTATTTGAAAATTGTGCCCCGGCTTCTCCTGCCAGCAAGATTTACCAAATGGCTTTCAATATTTATTTTATAATCGTATCAAAACAAACCACCCCACATCGGGAGTTACGATGAGGGGGCGACACAGTCACTTAAGTTTAGCCCCAGAGGGATTTACAGCTTCCCTCGGTAAATTTAATCCCAAACTGAGGAATTTTAAAGCCTCTGGAAGAGGCTAGGGGCTGGAAGAAGGGGCAAGGGGGCTGAGGTGGGGGACCTCGCACCCAGCCCTCTGTGCGGCCTCCCCTCTGATCTTTCCTCTCTCTGTTCCGCCCTGGTTTCTGAGGGAAGTCGCGGTGCTGCCCTGCCGCCTGGCGAGGAGCGGGGGAGGGGGGGGGAGACATCCCGGGGGCCATCACGGCCGGGGAACCGG